GTCCTTAGTGCAATCCCCTCGGCATGTACAATCAGTTCGGTTATTGGTTTAAGCACCTCGTCCGGAACGTGGCTCGGGCCACGCGCGTGGACACGTGGCGGGGTGAGGTGGCGGGTCTGACACAGGCCCGTAACAACTTTAATGGACAATTTCCACATAAAATAAAGTCAAACGAATAGAAAATTTAAAAATTTTCCGGGTGAAAAATTATACCAATCAAACATACTTGAAATCATTTTCCCTGCAAAACATTTTCTAGATAAATCTTTTCTCTGTAAAATATTTTATTTCCGCCAATTTTCCACCCTTACAATTAAACGCACCCTTAAATCAAGTTGCACCCGCTAATTGGACTAGACTCTTTGACCCAGGTTGATGAGTCCAATTATCAACCTGGGCTAACTCCACTGAATGCCGAATATTACATCCTCGAATTATATAAATTCATTCAAGTCATAACAAATATTGTATTAGTTTCATGTAATTACATCTACTCAACTTGCTATCTATACCTTACCCATACTCGACGTCATACTTCTAATTATTATCCCCCTTAAACTCGCATTTTCTTCCATAGTTTCTACGCGGTAACATAGCGGAATTTATTTAGTAGTTGTTATATACTGAGCTCCAATTTAAAATGCTTAGAAAAAAAAATACTTAAGCACATTCATCTGTCCATTCGCGTGGACGACAAAAAGGTTTATACTTTTGCGCTGGATAGCAACCTTTTAGCTTTCGACGTATTATTTGACCAAAAAATATATTTCACTCGTTAGTACATCAAAACCATAGAGTTTACGAGTAGCAATCACTGTCATGGATTTAGGTAATCCGTAAAGTAGTTATGTAGAGTTGAATCCTTCACGTGATATTGCTGTGATCTTAAACTCTAATGTCAATACTCTCGATTAAAGGCGATCCTCATACTTCAATTGGTAAAGTAGAAGTAGTTGACCTTACAACATTATTAGAACAAAATATCAAGATTTGTTCAACGCTCTAAGACAATTAATTCCCGATTCATATATAAATAGTGTCTATCTATACTTCTCAAAACACGCACTTGCGTGTCACCCATCGAGCGAGGTCACTTCATCATATGCTCAATAAATGCAATACTTTGTTTAAGACATAAAAAATAAAAAATAAAAATTACTTAATAACATCTAAAATATATTATAATTATAATAAAATCTCAACACTTTTGAAATGATATCTTTTCATTTTTAGTAAGAGTTGAACCACCAAAATGTCAAATATAGAGGTTGATAGAGTGAAGAAAGTTTTATAGTTAAAAATTGATTTGTGAAATGATTCTCCTTCTCAAAGTGATCAAATTTCTTGAACCACGTAAATTTAATATTTTTTACGTTTCTTTTCCATTACATTTGTTGCAGATTGCATCTAATCGACAATGGTGATTTTTTTTTTTCCTAGCATGTTGACACGATAACAGTATTAAAGAGAGATCATGCTGTTTTTCAGTGCAAAGTTTTGGTTTAGTACTTCATTACCATGAACCGTGCCGCAATTATATGGCTTTTTTGCATCCATCCATGGTGGTATGATTTAACTATTAAACTCATATTTTTCTAACCATTTAATTTTTAAAACAAGTTATCATTTAATAGTAATAGTTTCAATAATATTAATATATTAGCTCTTGATATTAGCTTCATAAATATAATAGTTTAATAATACAATTTCGAAACTAACAAACCTATCAAAAAATTCAAAAAATAGTTGATATGACCCAAAACCAACTATGGGTTGAACAATTCAATTTGAATAATTTTCAACCCTTGGGGTGTGTTTGACCCAATTATTTTGAAATAATGTATTTTGAAATAGTAAATTAATGAAAAATGTGCGGTTAAAAAAAAAAAGTTATTGATGTGATAGAAAATATTATTTTATTAAAGAATGAAAATGAGTAGAAGGAAGAAAATGAAAATTTTAATGTGTACTAAACAAGAGCTAAATACACTAAATGAACCAATCCAATCTAATAAATCTTGGGTTGGTTCAATTTGAATTGTTAAGTTTGCATTGAGTGGACAGATGAGTGATTGTACTCAAGGACGTAATCAGGATCTCAATCCACCTCCAAAAATTTTTTTAACTAAGAGGATTGGAAACGATGATTTTGAGTATCAAAATAGACAAGTTAGATTGACTGACAAAAAAGACAATTAGTTTGTCGATACAAAAATAATATGTCCATATATGTGTCTAACGCTATACAAATTGAAAAGATGAATGTTAGATGGACATTTTGTGGACTGTAGCCTGTGGGTATGCTTTTGGATAATTGATTCATAAATGGGTCCTTTACTTTTGGATTGAATTTGAGCTATTTATTTATTTAAGTAACTATTAGATATTTTGTTTAGGTTTAAGATTTTTGTATGGTTATTGGATTAATATTTAAGTATGATTTTGGATTGGATTTGGGCTTTTATTGAATTTTAAAGTGTAAGTTATTGGGTTAATATTTATTAATGGAAAAAAAATTTCAAAATTTTGCGGGGGCGAAATTGAAAAATACATTACAAATTAACTAGAAATAGTGGACCATCAGACAATGTTGGGAGGCCCTCCTTATCTCCGTCTCTGATTGTAGTTATAAATTGTGTGACATGCCTTTGTTTGATGTCTAGTTGTGACAGTATATATGGGACATATTAGTTGCATTTACGTGACTACATGATTTTTGAGGGGGGAAAAAAGAAAATAAATTAATGCCTGATTTATAAAATATGATTTCAATAAATTTTCTCTTAGCTAATTATACGTGAACATAAGGGCACAAAAAGTCCAAAGTTCCAAAAACATATCATCCTAGATAATGGACAGCTAGTTATGGATATGCATATTTCAAGCAATCTTCAATTATACGTGGCAATCCCACCATGTTACACTTGTACTGAATAAAAACAAAAAGTTGTAAATCAAATAAACCCGATCCTCTTCTCAGGTCAATAAAAACAGGAGCGTGTAACAGGCTCCAACTACACATTCATATCTATAGTCAAATTATCTTCACATTTCATAACCCTCAATTTTTTATTTTTTATAAATAATTTATTAATTCGTAGAAAAGATGCTGAATTTATGGCGAGAACCACGTGAGGTGACGATAGAGACTCTTCACGACCCATATGTCAACTTCCATAGATGAGCTCATACAGGTTGGTCAGTTGACTTTAGCACATTTTTTTAAAGAATTATGCTACTTGTACAATTTTGATTGACAACTTCATATTTAATAACATCGTATTCATCCATTTTAAAAATTATTTTTTAAATCAATGATAATTTTGACAACATCGGCGTTGTCAACCAGAGTTGTAAAAAAAGTTTGATTGTTTTTTAAACCTCTCTCTACCAAACTCATGCTGCACTGCGGTCTCACCTAGTAAACGATAGGTAGGAACTTGATCCCTCGCCAAACTCAAATAGAATGAAAATGAAAGCTAACTTGAGGTCCCCAGAAGCATTTATCAGCCAACCTCCTACCATTAATGCTATACCCCACCCTATCTCTACAGCCCAGGCCAAACTTCAGCTTTTCCTTCTGAAAATGTCAAATCTGTTAAAGATATCTCAGCACGTATATTGGAAGGTGAACTGAAAAACATGGAATCTGTGCCAGCAACTCTATACAATGGAATCAAAGGATACTGGAAGAGAAACGGATACGAAAGGCTAAATGGAACCGCCGGTCGGAAAAGGAAGATCCGAGTAGTGAAGTTAACTTCTGCGGACGGTGCGAACCGCCGGCGAAGGCGGTTCTGGAGGGTAAAGTTGAAACCTAGTCTGAAATTGAAGCTCAAGTTTTCGCCTAAAAGGTTGTTGCGCCGGCTCCGAGATGCATACGTGAACATGATGATGAAGATTGCTAACACGCCGGGGATCACCGGCGCTGGCGGGTTCCCAGGGGGTGGCGTGAGTGGATTTGGGAGGGGAACGATGAAAGAGTATGATGAGAGGATAATTACTGAGATTTACAAATCGGTTTTAATGGCACAGAGTCGACCGGTGCCCCGTGAAGCGACCCGAATTGGATCCGAAATCATCTCCCAACGGTAATGAGTATAATAATTATCTTCCATTTCCCCCAAAATTTAGATCAACAAAATAAGAATCATTTTTGAATAATGCTACTTGTTGTAGTCGCTCACTACAGCAATCGCTCTATGTGGCACACACATGTCAAGTGTGTATTTAATGCATTAAATGTGATAAAAAAACTACTACATTAATGCATCAAATAACTACATGTAATGTGTGTGCTACATAGGTCAACTGCAAGTAGCATTACTCATCCTTTTTAGTTTGTCTATTTAAGTTCTATATCTTTTAATACTTACACTAATTGTATAAAAAATCGTTCCATTTAGATGTGAACGGATTGGTTCGGATCGATTCTAATAAAAAATGAGATGAAATTGAACTACGGTCAAAATTCTACATAAAAAATCATACGATTCACTCCCAATGATAAACTAATTAACTATTAGTGAAAATTTCGTTTATGGAACCAAAAGGTACTATAACGAGATAAAAATAAAAATCGAATGTGAATGGTTTGATTCTTAGTTCTAAGATTCAAAATCAATTAAAGTTTAATTGAAATTGAATCGAACCAATCGACTTTCTATAATCCTGACAATTACATCTTTTATAATTGTTCGATTGAATTCAGTATTACACTGTTAGAACTATATTTGTTAATTTAAAATGGATTGAACATGTCCCGTCCCGTCCCATTGTTGTATTAACTTGGCCAATTTAATTACACTATTTGTTAGATCAGTTGTACAAAATGTACACCTTAGATTAAGCATTGATGATTATTATACGGTTAAGTGTTGCATTTACGAGTTTAAGGATAAGAATACAATGTTGAGAATTATGTTGAAAATGAATTTCGATTTTAAATAAATGAAAAATTGAAATAACTCGAGCTAATTGAAAAATTATGAACACTTTCCATTATATCTTAATAATTTATTTTTTTTGTATACATTGATTTATTTTTTTCTATTTACAAGATAAATTTACTTAAGTCACAATAACAAAAAGTAGAAGCAATTTTGAGATATTTTGATCGAATTAGCTACTTTAGTATTTGTTATCAACCACACATTCTCCAATAAAATAATATTATACATAAACTCTAAACTTTTTCTTTATTTTTAACCATGCATTCTTCAAAAAAATTACTATTCCAAAATCTAATTCTCATTGAGTATCCAGTTCGCTAAAAATTTGATCGAACTTTATGGTTTTTAATTAATTCGACTCTAACAAATTATATAACTATGGGAATTGCTCCAAAACTAAAGTTTGATTTAAAACCTAAATATTCAAACAATAAAGAAGGTGACACAAAATGCATGAAAGATGGGTTTAGAACCGATTCCTTAGAAACAACAATGTACAAGAAACCATAGATGCAAGAAATGTAGTTGACAAGGAATCCAATTTACTAATAATATAATTGATCTCTTGCTCTCGGTGGGGAAAGATAAAAACTTCTCACTACTGATGCGACAGAGAGAATCGTAAGTATTGTTCTCTAAACGTATGACTGTTGTAGAGAACTATAAGTAATGTTCTCTTGTCATGTTAAGCAGTGAGAAACTTTTATCCTACCAAAATCTGATACTAATCAACTATGACAATGATGGGTGGTCATTAAGGATAGTTTTAAAGTGGTCTTTTTTCAATGTGATGGAATATTGTTCAACATATATAAAATGGGATATGAATAAAAATGGAACCGATGGCCTTTATTTTGGCATATGCGACCGCATAGGTTAGGAAGGCTTTCAGTCGTTGCAGTGATTAAATGCCCTGCAACTGGTTGTTCTATGCGACCGCATAGAACAAGGCCTCCGGTCGCATAGGTTATTGCAAGGATTAAATGCCCTGTAACTGGTTGTTCTATGTGACCGCATAGGTTTGTTCTATGCGGTCGCATAGAATAACCAATTAGCCGTTAAATGACTGTTTTATGGCCGTTGTCTTTTTGAATTTTGTGGGTTTTCATATGAATTTGGCATCATTTCGTAGAAGACATTTGAGAGCTATATATAGGCAATCGTGTTCAAAGCAAAATATGAAATATATCAATAGTTGAAAATATTCTTATTCCAAACACCATTAAAATCAAATTTCCTTCATACATATTCAAAATTTTCGTTTGCATTCTTCAAGTTTTAGAGGATTTTCACTAGTGCTTAAGTGTTAAATCCTTTACAAGGCTTGATTAATCCTGCAAACCATTTGCCATAATCCTTTTAAGCATTATTTTCAATCTGAGAGGGGACAAAAATAGTTTGATGACAATGGTATCATGTTCGGGTCTTCTTTTTCATCTTCTTATTGTTCTTCCTTTTGTTTTCTCCATTTTCTGGTTTTTTTTTTCATTGTTTTCATCTCCATACCTTTTTTTGCACCTTATATATTTTCCAACACAATTTCCAAAATGAAGAAAATTAATTTTTTTAAACTTTTCTTTTAGAAAGTATAATTTATTGTTCAAACGTTGGATTTAGTTTTATTAAAAATGACTTTAAACTCTGATATATTTTTAATAAGAACACGTTCAGTGCATTTAGCTTGACTTGAGGGAATAGTTCAACAGCCTCAATTGAGTAATCAAGTCAACCATTGCCTTTACGAATTTTTTTTTAAAAAGGAAATGATTTTGTAACCCTGAATTTGAAGAGTTTTGAACGAGAATAGATAAAACTATGTTTGAATAGTAAATAAAGTGAAGTAACTTTAAATAAAAAACCTAATAAGAAGTGTTATGTTCATTTTCTCAATACAGCCATGCTATGTGTACAGAAAAATGCCGTCAAAATACAACAGGCAGTTTTTGATTCGATAATGGGAAAAAAAAAAACCAGACCATCCAGATGTTGTCAATTGGTGAAGTTCTGACAGTTCTACTTCTGTACAAAAAAAAAAAAAAAAAATCCTCAATAACCCAAATATATTGCTTAAAAAAGAAATTCTTGAGGCAATCAACGAGGGGACATAATTGAGACAAATAACTAGGCCCAGCTTAGAAGTGAATCTTGCTTTCATTTTTTAAGGGCTTGAATTGGGCTGTAATTGAATTCCAGAGAGTTGGTCATTGCAACAAAACAATTGTCGTAAATAGTACTTGTTATTTCTACTTTTTTTTTCATGTCGTATGCAAGCTTTTTTTGCACTCAAATTTAAAGGCTCGTTTGTTAGGCCTTCTACTTTTTATAGAAGAGCATCCAATGAAAATTACATTAGGTCAATTTCCTCTGAAGCTCTTTTAACAGAAAATTATTCATACATGTTCAAAAACAAATTTTTAGTATCAAAAGCAATTTTTTATTTTATTTTTTAAAAGTCCTGCCTAACGAATCCTAAGTTCGATTACATTAGGTACTGTTTGCATGGGGTGCTACAAGGTTATTTAGGCTTTCTTTGAACTCCATTTTTACTAAAAAATTATTTTTTAAAGAGTGGTTTCGTTGGAGAATATATAGTTAAAAATTATGAAAAAAATTGAACTTACGTGAAAATTATTGTATTAGAAGAACGTGCAGTGAAAATAAATTTGGGGAAAAAAATGAGAAGCCTTGCCATCTTTGCTCATTGTGGTCCCCTTACGAGCGGGGTTGGGGCAACCTCCCATGCCCCGCCAAGCAATTTTCCGCCCCGTTGCCTATTTAAGAAGGGACGGGAGGGGTCTTTGCCCCGTTTACTACCCCATTTAATTTTTTTGTAAAGTTTTTGATAATTCATTTTATTGTTCTTATTCATTAGATTGAGACAATATTATATTTGATAAACTAAAACTTTTATTGTTTGTCATATTTTTTAGATTTTTGAGTTGTCATTTTCGATTAGAACTAATGAAATTTCGTAAAATTTTCCATTTAAAATATTGAATTGTAAAAAAAATAAATAAATAAACGGGGTGGGGGCTGGGCACCCCGTTTCCCATCCCCGACCGCGACCGGAATACCCAAATAAGTGGGTAATCCTCGCCCCGTTTGGGGCGGGGCCCCACAGGTATCGAGTTTGTTAGATTTTTTTTTGCCATCCCTATTTGTATGGACACCGATCAACATAAATTTTGTCACTACAAAGCTCAATAGCGGTAAATTGACCTTGTATTTTAATTTATTTTTTTGGTCAGATTTCGCCATTACTGTCGTGAGTGTGCAATTTGTATACTAAATTATTTCTTATGTTGGAAATAATAGAGAAGAAATAAATAAGATTAATAGAGGAAAATCCCTGAAAACGTTTTCATTTGTGATATACCTCCATTTATTAAAAATCATAGAAAATTCTCATATTTGAAACCTTATGTGAGAAAAACTCTATTGCTGTCAAGATTCGTTAAATTTTCAATTAAAAATAATAAAAAATTCTAAAATTTAAAAGGAATAATTACAATTTTAGTACACAAACTTTTTTTTGTTTACAAATTAAATTCAAATTTTTTATACGTGCCACCCACAATCTCAAATCTTTAAAACTTTATTTTACATCCGCTTCATCTTCTTCTCCAAAAATAAAAAATTAAACAATAAAAATGAAAAAAGTACAACTAAAGAAAGAGAATTTCACACATTTAATGGAAAGCAAAAAACATAACATGAATGTAAAAACTCAATCAAGAAATAAACAACAACGATTAAAAGAAAACCAAAGACAGAACCTGTTTAATTATCTTTTGCCTAAGCTCATCGGAAAGTATGTCCTTCAAATGATGATGCAAGTGACCCGAATCACCCTTCACATTCGGATTCGGAGCAACTAATATGGGATTGTTTCTTGATCGGTAACATAAACCCAATTCCCACCACTCTCATTAGTGTATTGAATCGATGGGTAAACATACCCAGTTGTCGGCACTAGGTCGTGGCGTGAGATTATGGTACAAACTTCAGTGCCACCGCATGGAATTTGAAAGTGCCACTGCTCTCACTTTCCTTCTCCTCCTCCTCGGTATCATCTAATTGTTTTTTCAGTCCCTTGTATGTGACTAAAATTTTATTGGTTTTTTGATAGAGGGGGTTGGTGAATGAAAATGAATGGTGTTGGAGCGGAGAAATTAGTATTTTAGGATTATATGAACTATAAAAATGGGATTATATTGGATGGAATGAACAATCTATATCGGGCGCAAACAAGAGTCATTGATGATAATTCCTCACTTTCTTACTCTCTGGTGTTTTAATCAAATTCTTTATTTATTTTGAAGATGAGAACATTTTTTTTTTAATTTTGGGGAAGAAGATGTGGTGGGATGAAATGGGGTGAAAAATAAAGTTTTAAAGAATTGGAATTATAAGTGGCACATATAAAAATTTTGGATTTAATTTGTAAAAAGATAAAAGTTTTTAAGTACTAAAATTGCAATTATTCATTTTTAATTTTGACATTTTTTACCTTATTGATCAAAAATATGACTGATCTTGACGACAAGAGAGTTTTTCGCACAAAAGATTTTGAATAGAGGAGTTTTCTGTGATTTTCAATATATATATGAAAATATATCTCATATAGGAACGTTGTTAGAGGAGGTTTCTACTATTAATCCAAAGAAATATGATTCAATTCTTTTCTTGCTATCTGTTTATAAAGTTGTCTTTGTGAAGTTTTCTTTATAGACTAACCTGATTTTGACAGTAGGCTGCTTTAACTAGAATTTTGATTAAATGAGTATTTCGTTTTTAATTAGATGATTCTAGAACGTGTATAAAAAATACTAATACTCCAAATAAAAGCTTCCCTTGTCAAGTGAGAAGATTCATGAATTCCGATCAAATTTCTTTATCTTAATAATTAATGCATATTATACATTTTTCGAAGGATATATAGCCTATGTGGAATCTATTTCCCTCTCAGAATCCTTGCACAGCTGAGATACGCCAAGAACGCTCAGAAACATTCATTATTACCTTTTCTCTGATCAAATTCAGGTCATGAACAGCTTACTAAAACTAGCCTTAGGTAAATCGAGGCCTTAAAATCGAACTTATGTTCCTGTAAACAGAAACTATGCTTCGAAAAAAACCTCCTGTTCATCCTCGAGAAGCACCTTCAAAACCAAAGGTAAATCTAACACGACTCAATGACCACAAGCACGCAGACACAGTAACGTTTAACTTTTTTTACACTACGGTAAGATTTACTTTCAAAATAAGCATTTTAAAAGTCGAAAAAGTAATATCAGATAGAATAAAAGGGAACCAAACAATTTACAACTACATGATAATAAAAACAGAAATATTTTTGACAATATCGATTTATAAAATCTATTGCTATTGAGTTGTATGTGCATCCTAAGAGTACAGGTTACAAATTCTTAAAATTTTCATCACTGTAGCAGAAAGTATCAAAATCGAGGATTTCAGTAATATCACATACAACTCAACTGCCCCTTCACGACAACAAAACCGAGAGCGTTTTTGGCACGAAGAACTGTGAAGTACAAGATTATAGCCCATTTTTCTTCCCATGCGGGCAAATCCAACACACAAAACATGTCACGTGATCAATTCACATATTAGTGCCGATTATATCTCTTGTCAGTCTGTAAACAACAAAATGGAGTGCAAAGCATCCTATGTCCCATACCAGCGATTTTATCATCTATGGTAAATTGACACCCAGCCAAAGCCACATGACATATCCCACTTCATGAGTAACAACGCTATTGAAGGTATTTTAAAACGTGCCCATAACACGAGAAAGCTTAACAAACAAGGCACAATCTTTTAACAGGTTATTTGATTGGCTGGGAAGAAGGGGAGTTCTATAGAAGTTCAATTTCCAAAAATGATCATTCCACAATTGGCACTAAACTTCTGCCCACTAAAAAGAGACGTCTCATCATCTCCACTGAGAGTGAGCAAGAAAAAATTGGTAATCAGGGAGAATAACATTCAAATTGCGAAGCCAATTGTCTGCAACGTGCAAAAGAGAGCTCTCTTGCTCGCGTTCATGAGCTGCACAAGGGCTCAAAATTGAACCTTTTAACTTGTATGAAGCAAGGCCAAAGACTGGTAAAGAAATTGTTGAAGACGGATCAACAATTCCACGGACTTGCCTAGTGTTTGCAGCATGAAATTGAGGCAAAATATTACCTGGAAGTTCACAATGTGTCAATGAAGGGGCAAAGAAGACATTCCACACACAGACATGCGCAGCAACAAAGAGATAGAGTCCACTTTTCAGTTTTTGGTCCTTTTTTATTTTTTAGGGGGTGGGGAGGTTTACTACTTTTCATCTTTGAACACGGCCACATCCTGCATGCACTGAGAGAGAGAGAGACAGAGACAGAGACGGAGACGGAGACAGAGACAGAGAAGAGAGAAAGATGTACTTCTAGAGTGCGTTGACAAGGGATGAAAGGTCAAAAATGACGCATCCAGATCATGCAGTGTTGGGCCTATGGGTATTCTATAAATTGGATACCTGCAAGAGATTAAATAAGAATGAAACTTTAAGAGCTCCCCTTGTAGTTTATTTTTATATTTTAGAACAAATAAACGTACGTTCTTTTGTATGGTTCGATACCTATAGGTTGAAAGACCTTCATCTAGTGTCGAAGACATGAAAAAGTCAGGCCCTTTAACCCTACGTTCTTGTCTTTAGACGTGTTTATTGGGGTTTTGTGGTCATAAAAAATGGACAAATGCTGATTGGATATTTCAAACTCTAAAAAGTGAGTTCTACCTTATCAGTTAGTGGTCTACGGTTATATGGTTGTTCTTGCTCCAAATATTCAAACACAGGCAGTCCAGGTGAATTAGAAATTTCAGCTTCGTCACTAGATGAACTGATGACAGATTTATCTCTCAGCACAAGTTTGTTTAGACGTTGGGAGTTAAAATTAATGAGGTTCTGCTGATTCCTCGACCCATCCGCAACGGATTTGGAATGCCTATCAGCTTCACAATCACTGCTGCCAGCACTACTTGTTTCCATAGATGATTCGGCATCACTCTCCTCACCAGGCCTCCTGAAGAAAACAGTTAGCACGTGTTCACTAAAACAAGAAACATAAGTTTTGCAAAGTCTAGAGTACGTGTTCATTTCTATAGGAAGCTTCTCTAATTGCTTTGCTTCTTACACAAAAATGTGAGGTCAAAGGATAATCAGTTAGTGTGATCAAGTTAATTTCATCTGATTAACTGTCCTAGAAGAAGGACAAGGTTATCTACTGGATAAGCATTCTCATGTTTAACTGCAAATTAGATGCTGCTCCAAGTTAACTATCTTAGTACAGAAAACTCCTGATCATAGAATATATAGATACAAAGCAGCATTTAGTATATAATTGTTTGCCACTGAAGCTAGGGATACTCGTGAACATAAATTTTTTGAATTGTAATCATAATGCCTCCTCTTATGACTTCTCTTTAGCCAAACAATTTTATTACCAAATACGATGGGAAGCAAATTTCTACCCAAAAAGGGGAACTAGTATCACAGAAAATACATTGTAATATTATGGGCCGTTTGATTCTCATTATTGTAGAATGAGAATGAAAAATATAGCCGTTATTGGATCCCACACAAGAGATAGAAATTCAAAATTGATGGCTTGATGTGATAGACAACGGTCATATTTTTCATTTTTATGGATGAAAAATGAGAAACAAATGAGGGCTATGTATCAAATATGAAGAAACAGAAGTCGGCATTTTTCAAATGATGATGCCATAATATAATCCCATAAAGACGTTACCCCAATGCAGACCGTTTTCTACAGTCTTTGTAACATTCTCCTCATACAGGCCCAACAAACAATAGCAAACCATAATATGCAAAAGACAAATACATTACTTGAATGAAGTGACCTTGCCTGATATATTACTGAAATATAATTTCAATAAGTACAAAGAAATCACATAGGTTGCCCCAGTTAAAACAAATTTGGACATATATTTATGTTAATATAAGAGACTTAAGCTTATTGTGTACTTATAAGATATATAGGAGGTGCAGGAATGATCTGCAGCATATTTTAGATAGACTTCAGAAGTCAAATGTTTTTCAGATTATGTGCCACATCAGTAGAATATGAATTTTGAAGAACAAAACAAGGATAAGGAAAAATCAACCAGGAGTGGTGATTCCACAACAAATAAAATCATTTGCAATTGAAAATAACTTATAGTATTGAATGCCTCATTTTTGTAATCCTACAACAGGTACGTCAATAAACTCGAAGCCAAACGCAAAGTTAACCACACAATTTGTATAATTGTTTTAAAAGAACTTATAGTATTAATGCCTCGGGTTGTGATCCTACAATCGGTTTATCGTTAAGCTCAAAGCAAAAAGCATTTTAACCACATACTTTTACAACTGTATAGCTGTTCCAGCACATAGACACTCTAATTTTCGATAATTTTATAATAACATTTTGAAACGGAATGGGCAAACCAAAAGAGACTGGATTTATTTCTAGGCGATCTACAATTTGAATTCACATTACATCAATAGCATGTTAGCATAATTCAACTTAAAATTGGCCGAGCATTAGCGAAAAGTGTTTCCAAGGATCATGTGTAACCAAACTAATAAGGAATGAGCTCTAATGGCTTTACTGTTAAACTGAACTTTGGACAGACCTTGAGTCATGTCTACAAAAAATGCTATAGAAATCAAGATATCTTTGAAGTTCCAAATTGGATTGTTAATTTGTAGGCTCAAAGAGACTGTTTCCAGATGGAGCGACAAGAAGCTTTGCAAATAAATCTAGGTGGAAGTAATAGAGAAGACATCACAGTTTGTTATAGCATTTTTAGACATGAAGTGATCAAGTGGAATAGGGAGTTAAATTCTCAGAAACATGGGTATGGGAAGCTATACTGTAACTAAAAAAATTCTGCAATTAAGACCAGAACTATGAGAAAAATATAAGATTTTAGAGACCCCAAAAGTAGTAAATTCCAAGTGAATCCATGTCTAATTGTTGCTTATCAAAATATTCAAAAGTTGCATGTTTAAAACCTGTCAAACCAGTAATTTGTATTTCATTTAAAATCATTAGGAAAGCTGTGGTATTGTTATAAAACCTATCATATTATCTTATATAGTAGAAAGCATTTATCCATAAACATCTAACAGGTCATTTAAGGAGTCGCTTTCCAATTGCACTATCCTCCCTAATCTGGGAAAACAACACCCCACACTGGTAATTTAAGGAGAGATACTTATTTCCATATGCATATGTCCTCACATGATACTGCCACACGCACTCCAGTTCCACTCTGGTAAACGAGATTTAATCCCCGACCTCGTGTGTGAATAACAATATAATCTATTTCACATTTATATCTTCTATACAGCTTTTGAACTTTATGTTAACTGTTAAACTAGAAAATGTAACTTCCAAAAAAAAAACTAGAAAATGTAACACTCATTGACTCAAATGATGCTCAAAATTTAAAAAAAGACCAGTGCTGGCATATAACCCTGCTTTTAATTGGCTATTAGAAATTCGAAAAAGATTGAGACAATTTGGATTTGGTATTGGTAGGGTTTAGATTTTTGCCTTCTTACATCCTGAAAATAAATCCCAACACGAGATTTTAGTTTTATAACAATTATAGTTGTAATGCTGTTATGAATAAAATATTGGTAACTGACTCCATAACTAGGAAATATGATTTTAAGAAACTGCAATGATCCTAGAGGAATTCTTTGTCCTTAGATTTTGGTTTAAAGTAATGACATAGCATCTTTTCAAAAGCTCAAAATTTGGCCACAAGAAATTCAAAGAAACTATGGGGGAAACGTGAGCCATAAACTAAAAGCTATTAATTTCTTTTGAGACGTTTTAAATCGACAAAAATGTCCAGCATTGTGCATTTAATGCTTGTATTACAGTCCTAGGTAAATAATGAGTGAAATAAGACTGACCTATCGAGCACATGGCTGAGGAGTATACAACGAAGTTGAAGCAATTATAAGATATTATACAAAAATCTCCAAGGAAGATTAACATCATAAAATCTATCAGCAGTAATTTTCCATTTTTCCTATTAATTGGAGAGTATTATGGGAGAATTAAACCAGAAGGTCACCACAAGTCACAACAACAATGGTCAACGGAATGTAGCACTAGTCAATAATGGTTTAATTACTGGTACGGAATAAATAATGAATAGTCGCATAATTATTCATGATAACACATCTAAAAAGTTATCAGTACAAGATTTGCCCATTAGATTGATAGTATAATGAGAGAGTCCAATGAGTAGGTGATCCCAACAACAATGATCAAAATGGAATGTGACACTGACGATGGTGTAACCACCGACAAAAAAGAAAAAAAAACTGAACGAATGTATTTACTTACCAAAAGCAAATGAATAAATGACAACCCAACTAAATTCAACCAAAGATCAGATAATACAACGATCAAAGAGTACTCGTAACAATGCTTACCTAAGTCGTGAAGAAGGCTTCTTAGAGTCTATGTACAACTGTATGCCTGACAGGTATGGAACATAATACTGTATGATTCGGTCTTTCTCGTTCAATACCAAAGGTACTCCTGCCCCATACACACTCCACTCTTTAAGAGATTCCCACAGATCATCCAAACAATAAAATGGATGAGACACTGATTTCCGCATTTTCGATCCCCTTGCATTTGTCTGTCAGCAATACATGATGATGCAAATTAATAACCTTTAGAAAACTTTACCTTCCAGAATTGCTGGGATTAAACAACCTTTAGGTAGAAATTTTGAAAATCTCTTGAAAATGGATTAAAATTAACGAGCTTATAAAACTACTTTGATAGATTTTTCTCAACTACTGCCAATCGATGCTGTTCATAAACAACTTTTTAATTAAACCTTTGAAAAAGCTGCAAATTAACGGCCTTTAAAGGGACGCCTTCCATAAATATTTCAAAACAAATTTTTAATTATTAGTAAAGTGAAGCCTTTGAAGTTTGAACTAGACTTCGTAGTGAACGGAATTTTTGGTCAGGTGATCCAAAAAATTAAATAGTATATAGACACTGTTTTCCCATTCATTTCCTGTAAACAATTCAGAGGTTTAGGGTTTACCTCAGAGCCGCAATGTGCAGGAATGAATGGAGTAACGGATTCCATCAAACGATCCAAGTTAGTAATAACAACAGGCGGCGGTTGTACAGGAGGCGAAACCGATCGGACAGAATCCAGTTTCGACAATGCTGCATTCGAGTCATCAGACTCACTTCGGTTCCCCGCCTCAGCATGGGTCAAATACTCCGTCTTCAACCCCGCCGTCTGCAGCTCCTGCTGCTGCTGCTGGTGCATCAACTGCTGCTTCTGCGTCAACTGTTGTTGTTGTAACAGCATTTGCTGTTGCCTCCGCACCGCCGGCGGGTTGTAAAATCTGTCTCCCCCATGGCTCCGCGACACCGCGAAGCTTCCCTTGCCTGACATTAATTACTCTTAACAATTTAATTTAATTAAATTTCTGCGGGTATGTATACAATATACGTATTTTTGTGTTTCGGATTGGGGATTTCTTCTTTAATGAATGAAGAATTGAAAGGATCGGTGAATGGGGATTGAATTGAAAGGAATTTGGATTTGAACAATTCGCGTTTTTTGGGAGGTTTTTAAAGAGGTACGCTGTACTGTGACTGTGTGTGCTGTGGAGATGGAAGGTTTTGACACACTGTGCGACTCTTCACTCTTTATGTATTATTGGGGTTTGTTTGTCAAATTCACTTTTTAATTACTTATTGTTAATATTTGCTCATTATAGCACTTTATGTCCCTAACAATTTATCATATCATTATTATTCTCAAACTTTTCATTAATTAACACGTTTTATATTTGATGATAGTTTTATTTCCGAAATGGAGTAAAATAACTTTTTTTTCATCGTATTATTAAAAATTAAATTTAAAAAATGCGAGAAAAAAAATTCCCTCAAATCAAATACTAGTTAATGAAAAACTGAATATGAGAATTCGACGAAAAAAAAAGTTAATATGCTATAATGAGCAAATACTGAGGAGTTTAACTACAATTAAAATGTGGTGTATCAAATAAAAATTGTGGTAACAATATAATCACTCTTACGTTTAATATGTCCCATGGCTGTCCGAGTATTCGAGATTCAACAATTATATTCGTTAGACTGATAATTCAAGACTTTTCAAATCTATAAGTGCAAATTTCATATTTAGAGTTTAGAATAATGAATATACAATATTCATCTAGAAGTACAAATTATTTTTTTCTCACCGCTTAGATGAACTCATATTCTTGTTTGAGACCAATCGCCTTCTTTGTTCATTGACTATGCAGTGGTAAGCACGGATGTGGTGGCGGTTGAAGAAGATGGCCTCGTTTTTCTATATTTTTTTCTCTTGAATTTATCATTTATACTTGTAATATCGCCCCATAATTTTTGAATGCACATGTCAACTATTTTGACTAACAGAAAAATCGATGGAATTCATTCATCCATACTTTGGATATTTCTTTGAAGCTCTTATCATAATTGGAGACGTTAAAAATAAATAAATAAAATCAACTTTCATGCTGGCGTGTTGGACTCTTGCCATGGCCTTCATTTTTCTTTCTCTCTCTCTCTTTGCAATGAATTATACTATTTGTACAATATTATTGTACAACATTGTTGACAATGTTGATTGTGGCAAAAAAAAAAATAATAATAATAATGCTTTGTGTACAATCTATGATTGATAAGGAATTTGACAATCCATGTTAATTCAAATTCGAATGAACGGGAAAGTGTGTGGTGTTTAAAAACTGGCAATTCAACCTTCAACACGTAGCACATTGTCAAACTTGATATTAAAAAAATTGTACTTGTAGCATGGTTGAAAAAAATATGGGTAATGTTATACATACATAATGCGGTATCCATAACGGTGTTCACCCCTCACATGGAGGGAGACCCAGTTCGAATAAAATATAATATATTCGAAGTAGGCCCCCCCTTCCATGTGAGGGGGGTGGACATCATTGTGGATACCGCATTATGAACAAGTAGTATATTCCAAAAAAATATTGATTAAAATGATGAATTATTTTTCAAATTATCCAATGACAACACGACACGTGACATTATCGACGATAATATCAAAATCATTGTACACCAAGCATTGATCCTCTGCAATATTTGTGTGAAGACTTACAATTACTCTACTTGCCTTGTCACTTGCATTAGTTCATATCAAGGGATTTTGCTACTTGTGCATCAAAATTGTACACAAAGATTACATAATATGATGTGGAGGAAAAATATTAGGGCCCTGTTTGGGAGGGATTAAATTTTTCTACAGTAAATCAATTTTCATTTTCAACCACACATTCTTTAATAAAATAATATTTTCCATCATATCAATAATTTTTTCTTCTTTTTTAACCACATATTTCTCATCATATCACTATACAAAATCATTTATTCCCTCAAAAATCTCTCCCAAACAAGCTCTAGATAAAAAAGTTGACTACATTTTTACTAACAAATGATGAGAAATGCTATGGGTATCACATAACATTTGACATAATGTGAGTGGGGTGGGGCCCATGCTACAGTATCGTGGGCCCCACCTCCATTCACATTATGTGAAATGCTATCTCATAAATGATATAGTGTTACATAACATTATGTAATCCATTATGTAACTTTTGATGTATACGCAGTAAGATTCTATACATTGAATGGGTGCCGTGCTGGAAGTGCTGAAAAGGAAAGTCATCCGACATTCACAAAGTGGCGAACGATAAAGAAATAGTTTAAAAATCTTGATTTCTCTGTTAATTTTCTTTACATTATACAATGCGAAATCATTTAGCCCTCAAAATAGACCATAATATTATAGTTAAATGCTCCATATATTTCATTAGTTTAGTCGCCAAATTTGAACTTAATTACTATCACCTTTCAAATCAATAAAAATCGACGTTCTTTCAATTTGATAAAAGTTGATTTATGGTTAAAAAATTATAGATTTTATGAAATATATATTATAATTAATTCTTAAATTTGACTTAAATTTTTTTTTTTAATTTTTAGCCGAACCAAACACGAACTTAATATCGTTTAGTGGTAATTATGAAAGAGATCATGATAATGTTGAAGGGAATTCAATTTCTTGCATATTAATGTCCAATGAAGCAGAATAAACAAATTAATCAAATCTTGTGCTTGTTTTGTAAAGCACTTTTTTTTTTCCTTCTTTAAAATGTTTGGTTCCATAATTTACTTATAATTTAATTAATTAATAAGCACCAGTATTCAGTTTTGTTAATCCTATTTTGAAAATTGATTAGTGTAACTTTCAAGTGGGACCCGTTTGTGGCGAATCGTGTGGTGGAAAAACAGCCTCCATACGGCCATAGGTTGGAAAATTAGAGGGATAATTGCACCATTGCTCCTCGATATATTGCTCAACCTTTCATATTAATCCCAAAACTTAAAACTAGCAAATCGACGGCTATTTTCAGTTTTAATTATAGCTGTACAAAGTTTGTTGACTTCAGAAAATGCACCAATAGAATCCCTTCCGCCTTCCATCCACATAGACATCATCCGCACATTGGAACACCCCGTTAGGAGGCAAAGAAAAAAGTATGACGATCGTTTGCACTCCAACGATCAAATCAATGACTGGACGAGAGAAAAAGAAAGCGCAAGAGATGGGAGGAGGATTTGGATAGAGTTAGAAAACATCATACCTTATTATGAATGAAACTCACATATACGTAGGAAAATGTAAATAGATCACGTGGGTAATGGGTCGAGCCCAATATGCAAATTGTTTAGTATGAATAGTTAATAGACCCAATCCAATGAATAGTTGACAACACGTAATTTATAAGTATAAGAAAGTTCAATAGTGAAAACTTCCAATATTTGTTATTTTTCATTTGACACTCAACCTAGCTTCAAATATTAGACAACAACTCAAGTCAAGAAATATAATTTAACAAGTGCTTCATTTTATCATTTTTAATAACATTAGTCAACGTTAAACATGCAGCAACAACAGCTCGAGTCAAGAAATATAATTTAACTTCACAAATGCTTCATTTTATCATTTTTAAAAACAATAGTCAGTATTGAACGCGTGTTTCACGTTATTATGAAATATTTTATAAGTACTGTCAAAGTAATATTAGAATAAACGTGAATGTTATTTAATTTATAATTGATACAAGAAAATATATACATGACAATGAATGTTAAATTACTTATTTAAGTTTTAATTAAACAAAAAACTAGATGTTAATTAGCATATATAGACGTAAATAATGAAATGCATTATTGAACGTAAAATTCTAATTAACCTATAATTAGAATTAATAATATTGAAATGCACAAATTGAGATGAATATTAATAAAATGAACATGAATGTTAATTAATTAATAATTAAAAATGGGGAATTTATACATTAATGAAAGTATATAAGTGAAATGAATCTATCAAATGTACATGTATATTGATTGTAATTATTGGTTAAATACATATTGAAATACGAAAAATAAAGTATTATCAAATTATAGTAAAACTAAAATCATCCAAAAAATTATACTCACACGATGTGATATTTAATATATTATAGATTATACAGACCCCAAGACACATATCAAAATGGTAAAAGGTGAAGGTGGAAAAACTCCAACTTTGCTTGAGACTGTCGCGTCAAGGGTTCAAATCCTAAAATATAGATTTGGGCATTGGATAAGTACAAGTGTACAAGCAGTGTTCCACTCTATATCCTTGAATGCATAACCTGCGATTTAACTCATTCACCAAGACCCGAGCATGACAGGTAGGAGCCGTCAAGGATGTGGCTCATCATTTTTTATTATTATTATTTTTGAAATTGTTAGATTATACAATCCTAAAGCTGGACAGTGAACATCACATAACTATCTAATAAAAGTTTTGGTCATAGAAAAATGAGAGCATGCTTATCTAAGATTATAAGTTCATCGTAGAAACCTCAAAAAACCCATTATGTCAACAGAGACAAATCCTACTCTTCCTTAAAAATTAGAGACTAAGTTGCTAGTTCGATAAAAGATGAGGTACAAGTGGTGAATTGTTTCATGATTAAACGATGATATAATGGGAATTCAATGCATTCCTTTATTTTTACTTCCCACTACAATCCAACCCCAAATCTTCCTCTCAGAATTATCGCTGATTCTCGATCGAATCGCCAATATAACAGCTAAAATAAACGAACAAAATCCCTAGAAATTAATGTAAAAGCTTTTTGAATTTTGATTATTGATTCATTTCTGTGATTGTTGAGTTTTTTTCTCGGAGCTGTATGGACTTGCCATGCGACCCTGGTTTTCTGCGATCGGCCTCTCGAGAGAGGACTCCGCCGCCGCCGCCGCCGCCGTCGTCAATAATCAAGCCTCCGACATTATTGTTATCATCTCAAAAGTAGCCGATTCCTTTGAAACGCCCAACTTTCTTGAAACGAATTGTTGTAGATTCAGAAATGGCCGCTGATACTCATAGTCCGAGTCCCAAGGGGCTGCTCTGTAATGCCGGAGCTGGTGCCGCCGCCGGTAATTGTCACTCACTCTGCTACAACTTTGCCAGTCATTTTAAAGTTTTTATATGTTGTACTATTTGACTGTGTAATATGATGTTTGATTTTGGTTAGTAATTGTGGATAACGTGTTTTGTGCTTGAAAAACTTGTATTTTGATTTGGTTATTAATATGTTGCAGGAATGATTGCAGCCACTTTTGTGTGTCCTTTGGATGTTATAAAGACTAGATTACAGGTCCATGGGCTGCCACAGCTCGTTAATGCTAATATGAAAGGTGAGGTTACGCATCTTTGGTTGCCCTAGGAAGTCTTATGAATTATGATTCATAATCATAGAGTTAGTGAGATCAATAATTTGCATATGCAACCAGTTGTATGATGGTTACTTGTTTTGTAAGTGTAAGTTCAACTGTAAATTCATCATCCATTCACAAAATGTTGAATGAAATCTAAAGTGAATATTTGTAGAACTGTCAAAAAATTTATTATTACCTAATTTGTGAAAGTTCTACCGTGAATCAATGTTTGAAGATTGAAAGATTTATTTTGAAGCTGGGATGGAATTTTTTCATAATCACAATACAAATGCAACTTCTTACTGTTTGTTTCTTGCTTTCTTTCACTTTCTTATTATTGCCCAGGGAGTATTATAGTTGGGAGTTTAGAACAGATATTCCAGAAGGAGGGTTTGCGTGGAATGTATCGTGGACTCTCCCCTACGATGCTGGCACTGCTTCCGAATTGGGCAGTATGTCACATTACTTTGTTTGTTAGTTTTTTTTTGGTTGTGGTTAATTTAGTGCTTCAGTTCATTTGCCCTGACATTTATGCCTTTGGAGGCCTGTTTCTATATTTTTTTTACTCGTGTTTCTTTCTTCCATTACCCAAAGGCACCAAGTCTTTAGTTGTATATTTAATTTTTCTCTGCCCTGTCTCAAGAAAGATAAATTCCATGCGAAATGACCTAGTAATACAATTTTTGCAGGTGTATTTCACTATTTATGAGCAATTAAAAAGTTATCTTGGAGCTGATGGTTAGTTTATTACCTACTTTTCTAATGAAAAAGTGTTTATTTTATCTTTTGATAAAAATATGTAATCACTTCTGTTTTAAACTAATAATACAACTGCAAGCTTTCCCCTTTTGTACCATTACCCACCGTGCCTTATTTTTTTTTGGCAAATGTAGATGTAAATCATCAGCTCTCTATTGGTGCCAATATGATAGCTGCTTCTGGAGCTGGAGCGGCAACAGCTATTGCCACAAATCCTCTATGGGTTGTCAAGACAAGACTTCAGGTAAGTCTCTCATCCAATTTTATGTAAATTTTATTTTCCTGTTAAATGTGGTTTGTTTTATTAAGTTTACACATATGAAGAGGCTGGTTTTAGTGATGCATGAGCAAACATGAACCTCCCATACTCTGCTCAAAGATATATATAAAAATTAGTTATGACATTTGATTTCAGTATTTTTCTCCTCAATTAATTAATATGCAGGATAAAAATTTGTTTAACTCAACTCTGGGTGAGCTATTGTAGAGATGTGCTATGTTTGCGGTCACTGGGTTCATTTGGAAAGAAGGAAAGCTACTATTGATTTTTGATATCTGGATCTTGGATATTCTCATATATTTACTAGAGGTCCCTGTATCTTATATAGATTTCTTTCAGTGATGTGCAGCGAAGCAGTCTTCCTTTTTTTTGGGTGATTGTTGTGTACATAAATTCATTTGCTTATAATATTCGAGTATATTTCCTCTCACACTAAGCCTCTGTTTGGCCCCCATTATTTTGCATTTTTGATGGTTGAAATTTTTTAGAATAGTGATTGATGGGAGAATGTGTGGTGGAAAAGTAAAGAAAAGTTTTAGATTTTTGTGTAATATTATTTTATTTGATGAATATGTGGTTGTAATGATCTCTCTAGAAAAATTTAATTTAATGTAATGTAATGTAATTTAATTTAATGGGGGCCAAACAGGGGCTAAGACGCATGCCCAGAGAGAGTTGAAAAATATATTTTCTGGAAATATATCGGGTTCCTTTATGTATAGAGACTTTTGATTCGTTAAATGGAAAAATGCAGTCCAGATAAATATGGCTTCAAAATTCCACTCCTTGTTTGGACTGGGAAAGATAAAATTTTCTTTGCACATATCTTATGCGCGGGAGGCCCAGTTTCCTTGGGCCATTCAGTGTCCTCTTTTAAAGTAAAGAATAGTTTAAGTGTTTCTCATTTTCTCTTTCAATTATTTGTGAAGACACAAGGAATGAGAACCAGTATAATGCCATACAGGAGCACTTTATCTGCCTTAAGGAGAATTGCTCATGAAGAGGGTATTCGTGGATTGTATAGGTTAGTTAAATGAAATCATGCCGATAGTATGGGGGCTTGAATTGTTGTTAAGGAAATAATTTCTGGATCTTTACTTTTCACTTTTTATTTCTTGTGATCAACAGTGGTCTTGTGCCAGCTTTGGCCGGTATCAGTCACGTTGCCATCCAATTTCCAACCTATGAGAAGATTAAAATTTACTTGGCTGATCGGGGTAAGTTTTTGTCTTTTTTGGTCTTTAGAAAACAATTACGTCGTAATACTTCTCTCAATGTGGACGAAAATTAGAATCCTTTTTATTTGATATGATGATGTTAGATAACACCACAATGGATAAACTCAGTGCAAGTGATGTTGCTGTTGCCTCGTCAGTTTCTAAAATATTTGCTTCCACATTGACGTATCCGCATGAGGTATGCAGTGATGACAATTTCCATCTTTTGGCATGCTACTTTCTATTTACAGAGGCATATCTGCTATATGCGTATATAGGCTCGTTTCTTTTACCCTTGTCTTGCACCAACCAACCTAAGAAGTAGACGTGGATGACAATACGAACTGCTTACTGTAGTTGAGAAGTAACTTGGGGCAACATCCATTAGGTTCTTGTTTGTTATTTTTAAAAACATGCCATTGAAAAGTATGTATGTGTGGCGCCATTAAATGTGTTTTCTGCATTTAGGATCCTTTAGGGCATGCTACTTTCCTCTACTAAATCCTTACTACTGTTGAGAATTAGAAACCCTAATTCTATACCACCATGAGCAATTAAATCGTAAAAAGAAAAATACACGTGAAAACAAGCAAGATTTATAGAGTTTTGTCTCAATGTGAGACTAAGTACTCTTTCACCGCTGCAGCAATTCACTATAATGAAAAAATTTACAAGAGAAAATCACACACCCTTCTATAATCTCTCTCTGTGATGATAATCCAAAACCTAGCTCCCTATTTTAAGACAAATTAGGGCCAAACTGAAATTGCAAGTGTAAAATTCCTAACAAATATGACTCTTCATTATAGGTAATATATATTCTCTGTATTTATTTTCGTTGAAGACGAAGCAGATTTAAATATAAATCAGCCCACCATGCCTTGTTCCCCATCTACCTGCCAAAAAATAAGAATTTCTATAACCAGGTGAATGTGTGATAAAAATGAAAAGAAAGTCACAGTAAGTAAAAGGACAATTAACAGTACAGCTATGTTTGTAAAAGAAAGTCACAGTATGTAAAAGTCTCAGAATTTCTATAACCCAGGGGTTGAAGCTGCTCGTTTGATTGATATCCATCTTATATGCCACCTAATATCAATTCCTTCAATTCTGGGAAATCTTATATCCAGGTTGTTCGCTCGAGGCTTCAAGAACAAGGCCACCACTCTGAGAAGCGTTATTCTGGTGCAGTCGACTGCATAAAGAAAGTTTTTCAACAAGAAGGCATTCCTGGGTTCTATCGGGGGTGTGCCACCAACCTTCTTAGGACAACACCTGCTGCCGTAATCACATTTACCAGTTTTGAGATGATTCATCGGTCTCTCGTTACTTTCTTCTTCCCTGATCCACACCCTCAACCGTTGTGATGATGAAACCTGCTTGAAATTGATGAACGAGTTTACAGGAAAGAATTCATGATATTACGTGTCAAGTCTCCAAGAATGTTTTGTTTGATTGGTTTTGCTCTTTCCTAATTGGTTGTGCGTCTTCAATCGTTATTTATAGACTTCCACAAAGCACATCCAATAAGGATGGCAATGTTGTAACGACGAATGATAACTATGAATAACTGTTACGGTATGGAGCATTTAAAATTTATGATGTGTTCAGTATGGTGAACTGTAGCTTGAATGAAATTTTTATTTTAGTTTATTCAATTATTATGAAATTTTAGTTATATATAGTATTCGTACGTGAATATATTTAAATATTAATAGCCCTTGTTTGATTCCCATTATTTTCAAAATACATTTTTTTTAATTTTCTTTTTAACTATACATTCTTCAAGAAAATAGTATTACACGTAAACTCAACTATTTTTTTTTTTTTGCATATTCTCTGTCAATTTACTATTCAAAAATGCATTTTTCAATAAGAATAGGACTCAGACAGGCTTATGAACCATAGGTACGATACTCCCGAAATTTTAAAATTAACCATCTTTTTATATTTTATTATGTACTTCTTGACAATGATACAGTTGTTTGATTGCAAATTTGGTGTTCAAATTTTTTTTTTCTATTTAAATTGATGCAGGCGACCCATTCCTATGACCATATGAGGACTCAATGAGAAAGAGAAATGCATTCCTTTAAATTGAAAAGACATAGCGGTTGCAAAACTTTCTTAAGAAAAGCGTCCCCAAGTTTTCGTAGCACTCAAATCGAGGTTGCGGAGGAGCTTTGTACTCTACTTAGTGATATCCCTTGAAGACATTGGAAAATGTCTCATGAAAGACGGGAGGGTCCTAAAAAAGGTCATCAATTGTCCATGAGGTAGGCGCTACGGAGCTCATCCAGAATATTGGTACTTGTCCAAATATGGTGTCTTTCTGTTGGACAACTCAATAGGAGACAAGAAGAGCCTACCAGACACGCAAATACATTAGCTTGGACAGACATAAGCAAATACTAGTCCCTAAAGTCAAGTAAGTCCAACCATTCTATATTAATCGGGGTTTTAAAAAAGGGTTTTAAAAAAACGTAAATCATGGCGAGACGTGGATGCCAACCATGTCAGGTTTATGAGTAAAAAACCTTAGAAAAAGTGTTTTCTTATTTTTATATTTTTTAAAATTTTTAAATTAATCTAAAAATCATTTAATAATTAAATAATACCTACCGAACATATAAAATTATAAAATACCATATTGAAAAAAAAAAAGAGAAGGAAAAAAAGGAGGTGCTCCTAGGCACAAGAAAATAAAATAAGAAAATAATAATAATAATAATAAAAGGAAAAAAAACACACATCTTGTGTTTAAGAGTCGCTTTTTAGAACGCTGATATTAATAAATCAACTTTTAATAAAAAGTTTTGGAAGTACAATAGTAGTCCTTTTTTTGTAAAACCAATTTTGCTATTTTACAATTAAATTGAATTAATTTATATTCTCAATAAATTATACAGTTGAGATTTTAATAAAAAATCGAAATGCCCAGTTGCCCACGATTTTCTGCGATCATACTTTTTTTTTTCTTTTTCTTTTGGGGAACAATACAAAAGTCAGGCATTTACTTTACTACAAAAAGAATTTCCAAATTTCAAAAATCACGTTTTTTAAATTTTATTTGTGAATATCCCAAAATAAAAAATCAGTCCCCAAAGTTTAGAATTGCAAAAATCAGGTTTTTCATGAATTAATTAATTATATTTCACAATTATTATATTAAATTAAATATTTAACTGTAATATAATATAATTAACCCACCCCACCCCACCCCACCCCACCCCCATCGAGACCGGTCCGGTTACCACTCATCTTCTGCGATTGTTCCGACGACTACTTTTCTCCGACGATCGTTCCAATTCCGACAATTATTCCGGTGACAATTCCAAATTTCCAGCTTTGAAATTTGGTCACAAATTCACAATTTCATTAGTCACATAAATTTTATGTCAAAGATTAGAATTTTCATCTCACAAACTATTTTTACGATCACATTTTAAAAAATTTTGTAGGTCACAATTTGTTCATAGGTCACAATTTGATAGGTCACATATTTTCTTTGGTCACAAATCACAAATTTTATATATCGAGATTTTTTTATCGGTCATAAATCAATAGTTTTATAGGTCACATATTATTTTATTGGTTACAAATCCAAAAATTACGGGGTTACAGTTAGATTTTTTGTGTGACAACCAGGGACTTCTATGACCACCCCTGGAACACCAGGGACTTCGTGACCACCCCCGAGACCACCACCGTCGTTGTCGTTAAAACCAACAGCACTACCCCGTGACCACCACCGACAACCACACAAATCATTCACGGCCAGATCATAACTACTGCATATCACCACCATATTCGCCAACAGCACCAGATCCACCGCACCACCACCAACAAAAACCCCCCAAAACCACCACCACCACCACCAACCACAAAAATCACAGATCCCCAATCACCAACACCACATAATCGCCAACCACAAAAACCACAGATCCACATTCTGTGTAAAACCCCAAAACACGTAACAATAACAAAACCATCGTCTGATCTGCCAAAATCGCCCCCAGATCCGCACCATTTACGACCACCAGAACACACCCAACTGCACCCAAATAGATCTATACCTCCATGATCGCTGAACCCACACAAACAACCAACCATACTACGTCCACCGCCAACAAAAAACAGAAAAAAACCCCAGTGCCAACACCAACTCCAACCCGCCACCTCTAGTGCTACCATCACCATCGATCCTTAGCCCAATGCCTATAGTACCACAAAAAAAATGACTCACACCAGTTGTCGAGACGGCGACGAAAGCGAGGGTTTGGGGGAAACTGAAAAATACATCGAACAACAAAAAATAAATAAAAACTCACCTTCGAGCACCAGTGTCGCAGGCGAGGGGAAAGAGAGGAGAAGGAGCCGGAGATGAGAGGAGAGGAGAAGAGAGAAATCGAGTGAGGGGGTAGAGAGAGAGAAAGAGAGAGAGGGGGAAATGAAAACTGATTAATTGAATTTGTAATATAATTATTAATATTAAATATTTTAATCATGACCTGATTTTTGAAAAGTTAAAACCTGTTATATGATTTATGAAAATGGTAATTTAAAACCAGGGATAGGTGTAATTTCCTCTTCTTTTTAAGTGAATAAGATTATTGGTGTTAGAAGCATAAGATCCATACTTGACCCAATATTTAATTTGTTAAGAGTCCATCTATAAGCATAAGAATTAGAATTACACACATTTTTTAAATTTATATTTCAATAATTAGGTGATATAAATCTTCTTTCAAAAATCGGGTATTAACCCTCCCAAATCCCTGACATCACCACAATCCCAAACCTCCACGAACATCGACCGCCACCGTCGCAACCATTTTCTCATCTCATACTATGACCTATTAGAACGTGTGATTTGTAACTTAATATATAATTGCGACGCATAAATTATGTATTTGTGACTGCAATTTGTGATAGTATGTAACAATGACCATGAATTATGATCATGACTTGTTTAGCTAAATTATAGTTCACTACATTTGACCACATAGCACAAAATATAGCAACCTAATTTTTGAGATTTTTCCATGATTTTGTTAATTTTGAAATTTTAATCTGCAATTTCTCTAAGAACTACCTATGTCCCAATGTGGAAATTTCACCACATGCCTTGTTTTTATTAAATATTCAAATTATACTATTACATTTTTTTAAAACAAAAAAAATATTGCATTTTATGTAGTAAAAATAAAAAACACAAAATTGCTTCTATCGTCAATTAATTGATTCCATAGCTGTAATTACTCCTCCAAACACGCCTCAACATTTTTGGTGAAGAAATACAATTTTGAATCTATCATCAATTAATTGACTACATGACTATATTCAATCCACCAAACGCACCTCAACAATCCATGGTTATCGGTTATCTTTCCTAAAAAAATCCCCAAATCGTAGTATTAATCTTTGGAAGAAAAATCAAAAACTACCACTGATACGAAGAATTCCCCCATTCAATTACATTCACAACTTTCTGCACATCCAAATCTAGGTTTTATTTCACATTGTGTGTAGGAAATTGACGTTCATACTGGGATTTCACATTTTCGTACAATAATGCAGGTTCACACGAACGTTCTGAATTTACTCGTGCAGCGCTGCTTCTGCAACGTCACATATCGTTTAGGACGATTCAAAACTTGTGTGATTCTACTAGGAGGCTACCTGCTTCTAATCCGAGTTTTCATAAGCATTTGTGATGCTATAATAGCTCTCCATGGATGACAATTTAAAACTCACTTAGTTTGAAGAAATCAATTGATAAAGCCACCTTTACTTCCAAAGAAAAATTTAGTTTCTTGAAAACTCAATAAAAAAAAAGAGAAGGAAAAAAAGGAGGTGCTCCTAGGCACGAGAAAATAAAATAAGCAAATAATAATAATAATAATAATAATAATAAAAGAAAAAAAAACACCCATCTTGTGTTAAGAATCGCTTTTTAGAACGCTGATATTAATAAATCAATTTTTAATAAAAGTTTTGGAAGTACAATAGTAGTCAATTTTGCTATTTTACAATTAAATTGAATTGATTTATATTCTCAATAAATTATACAGTTGAGATTTTAATGAAAAATCGAAATGCCCACGATTTTGTGCGATCCATACTTTTTTTTCTTTTTCTTTTTAGGGAACAATACAAAAGTCAGACATTTACTTTACTACATTTCAAAATTACAAAAAGAAGTTCCAAATTTCAAAAATCATGTTTTTTAAATTTTATTTGTGAATGATAAATTATTAAATCAATTTATTATTAAATATTTTTACGGGGTCACAGTTAGATTTTTTGTGTGACCACCAGCGACTTCTATGACCACCCCGGGAACACCAGGGACTTCGTGACCACC